GCAACTACCGTAGTATCTCTACACACATAAACCCTCGTTTACCCTTTTGAAGGTGTCGCGGTTCACGGCAAAACCAGCTCGTCGTACAATCACCAGCCAATACGGCAAATAGCTAATGACACGCATCCAAATGGGATGTACGGTATGTATGGAAGTACATGTAACTTCATTCACCATATGGTACAATGCAATTTAAAATATGCACTGAAGCGTTCTAATCAATAATTGTACACGTACAAACAGCTAACTCATCATTTGCAATCATCCTACTCATCGACATTTGTGGCTTTATTTACAAGAACATACAACAGATTGAAATCCACATCACCACCTCACCACTTGCTCTGTTCTATGGCACTACCATTCAAGCAGTAGCATAGCATGCGCCCTGCCGGCCAGCAGCAAGGAGGGGAGGTGGCTGCGGCGGAAACAACAGCGCATCACTACCTGGGCACCACATATACCCACTTTGCTGCCACCCCACCGCAAGCACCCATCGCCATGTTCCCACCAATTGCACCCATTTCACCACGCTCACAAGAGTACTCCAACCCACAGACGAGTGTTGCCACCACTGCAATCAGCACACAGCACAGCACGAATCCTGCTCGTCCCTGCACACGCGCCTCACACCTGCATAACCTGGTTCCACAGTCCACCCACTCATGTAATCAGCTAGTCTTCACCTTTCTCTCAATACACTAAGCGGCTCATAGGGGCCCCGCAGGAATTGCATGATTCTATCATCCTGGTTTAAAAAATCCTGCTTCATGGTGTGTGCGGCATCACCTGGCCACGCCATCACTGCAGGCTCACTGGGAGAACCATAATCTGGCCTGACCTGCTCTAAGGGCTCCTTGATCCGGTTCCCCCCCTCCCCCTCCCACCGGAACGACCGCCCAACAATGCAATAGAGAGCCAGAGAAGGGAACTGCCTGCGCAGAGAAACCAAGGTCCTGGGCTGGCACTGTCGCGTGGGGAAGAAAATCGACTGCAACACTGGAGCTTCGATGAAGGGGGGGCGTATGCCTTCGTGCTCACTACTGGTGCTTGTCCCACCACCAAAGCCCCTCCAGTCAAACGAACGTTCAGCATCCTCTACTGTAGCCATGTCACCATCCCGACCACCACCGATTCTTGTACCTCTCACGCCAATCCCAAGAGAGCGCAGGCGGCTCCACTCTGCATCCACGTCCTCCAGAGGCCAGCCATGCCTCACTATAAGCGTCTCCAGTGTTGGCGCTATGCTGCTGAGTAGCTGCGTCAAGGGAAGCGCATCCAGCTCAGACTTCCATACATGGGCGTGTGGTCCATCGAGGTAGACTGTTTTCGCGGAAGCCAGTGGGAGTGAACAAACATCAAGCTGCCTGCGGCCAATTAGAGTGAGGGAGTCGAGACGAGGAGGGCTGGCGCTCGTGCAGTTGACCTCCAGTCTCCTTGCTGTGACAGAAAGTGCCTTCAAAGTGGGAGGGAGAGAGAAGTTAACGGCAAGAACTTGCTGCTCACAACTGACTGTAATGACTCGAGCAACAAAGAAATCGAGACCGAGGCTACATCTACGGCCGCAGGAGGAGAGCGAGAACTCATGCAGCTGCAGGGAGATGGAAGACAAAAAGTCATGATCGCGGCTGATGCTTTCCAAATGCTTGATGGTCAGACTCCTAAGTGCCTTAAACCATGCCGCTTTCACACTGCGTAGAAACCAAAGTCCACGGCCTAGCTTAAGGCGCTGCAGCTGCCCAAACCCCACGAGAAATGCTGGTTCGATCAGACTGAAGGTTTGAGATATGTGGTGGATTCTACCAGGCTCGAGATATTGGAAGGATTCTAATCGGGCTGAAGGGTCCTTCACCCCAAGGCTCAGGCTTGTGAGGGAATGCACAGAGGATGCCAAAAGCCGGTCGAAGCGGAGCAGGACCGCCGAGCTGCTGAAAGTGAGGTCCAGGGAATGGTGTCCTCCCAGTTTGAGGAACCGAACAAGCGATCAGTTCCACCACGCTCTCCTATTGTTAAATCTGAGGGAGAGGGGCTCCAGCTCCTGCATTCAAAAAAGTGATGGTTTAGGAGCAACCGCAAAGCTTTTCGCCATAATCGCATGGATAAAATTCATTGCACCAGAGGAGGTTGTACGATGGATTGCAGAACCACCATGTGACTCACGGAGAAGGAGAAGACATGGTGGAGGAGCCTCTTGCTGGCCATGGCGAAGCGCAGCACATGCCAGGAGGAGCCGAAGCGCCGCGAATCGTTCTCATGCTGCTCCCTCGCAGAAAGCGGGTTGTCTTCGTTGTCTTCTTCAATCTCGTGTGAATCAGCCAAATCAGTTCGTTGCTGGAGGGCGACAAAGTCACACAAGCTGCTCAGCGCTCCCCGCAATGATGCTTCCTCCAAAGAACTGTCATGTTTTTGCTGTTGCTGAGCAGGATTGGCCGGTGGCAGCAGCAGGTGGCGGAAGATGATGTGCCAGACGTGGCCGGGCAGCAAATCAACCACGTCCTGGCTCTGGTGTGTGGGGTGAGGGAAGCACTGGAGTTGAGAGCGGAAGAGAGCGCGTGAGAGCGAGAGAGAGAGTGAGAGAGAGAGAGAGAGAGAGAGAGAGAGAGAGAGAGAGAGAGAGAGAGAGAGATAGAGAGAGAGAGAGAGAGAGAGAGAGAGAGAGAGAGAGAGAGAGAGAGAGAGAGAGAGAGAGAGAGAGAGAGAGAGAGAGAGGACCAGGGGAGGATGCGCGAGGATTCTCACGCGTCACGCTCACCTGGTGAGAATTCTCAGCAGTAGAGGGCTTGGAGGGCTGTGAGGGCTGAGCGAGTTTTGGAGCAGCCATGCCCTCTCCCAGCACCACATCCAGATGGCTGTAGCCCATTGGCTCAGAGACAATCTTTCCGTGCAAGGTTACGAATAAAGTTGTCATGAACCAATACATGGTCTCATGCAAGTGAAACGAAGACTCGTTTGCAGGTGCTTGCTCAAATCGAGTCCGCTTGGCATTGCTTTAGCTGACAATGAGTTTCGCGAACCTCAAGTCTCTGATATTCAATATGGTTGCAAGTCTTTCTCATGGTTCCACGCCGTTCGCTCAGTGTTCGTTTCACCATCATGAAAACCCAACTACCCTCGCTTGTCAGAGTCAGCCACGACGAGGCTCGCCGCGCGAAACGGGGAAACTCCTGCAGGGCACAAGGACGGTCGGGTGAGCCCGCGGTGCGTTCCGCAGGCGTTGCCTCTGAGCAACTCCCTTCCAGAGAGAAGCGAAGGATACGAGTCTCCATTCTGAATCAGATCTAAATGCGTCGAAAGAATTTCCAACGACATGCGTTCGTCCTACAGCAGCTATACACGCGTCAACATGCTAGCGGTGCACAAAATCTCCTTCTGCCTTGTTACGAGTTCATTTCGGTGTCTCTAGCTGCCGATACCGCAGCAATCAACGATACCAGTGAATGCATGCAAGGCACTTCGAGTTGTACGGCGTCAACGATACTAGTGAATCGTGTTCATCGCGTCGTTAGACTCTCAACCAACGAGTTGCAAAGCTTCTTTACACCTCGCAAAACTAGAAAGGTCTAGGTACCTCCGCACCGCATAATGCTAGTTCTGTAAGGGAAACCGTATTTACCCGTTTGAAAGTGTCTCAATTCACGGCAAACTAAATTCGTCGCTGAAATCGTAAGACGGGGCTTCACGTTCTAAATGTGCTGTTGCGCGTATAATCAAATCATCAGTTGGACTTTTCAAAAGTTCACTCTGGTGCGCAATGGTCTAGAGCGGTGTAGATTGAAAACCACCGCAAACGTACCTGGCCGTATCAAACCGTGTCAAACGAATTTTGAACCAAACAGTATAACCGCCCTGAGCCACTCTCAACTCAACTAAAGCTGAAGGACGAAGAATTGTGAGTTTACAAGCCCCACGGATAAACAAGGTCAAAGTAGCGGAACGACAAGTACGCCAGGCAGACAGCCGGAAACTGGATGCCTAGGCAGCTAGAGTCACGACAAGTACGCTCTAGTCTATCCGAGTGCATATGCACGACTTTTGAGCCAGAAGTATACTAGTTACCCCCAGGCGGCTGGTTGCTTATAGTTGTTCGATCGCCATGGCATCGCTGGAGCGTACTAACGATTTCACAGCCGAGCTGAGAGAGCGTGAGCGACGGGAGAAGAAGAGACAGAAAAGCAATGCCGAACCAAAAGGCAAAAACTGCTACTTCTTCGCGTCTCAGCATCCCACTTGTCGCGCCAATGCCTTCACGCTCGGATCGAGAAGCACGTAGCACCTAAGCATGCTCGGAAAACTCTCGCTGGCTTCCGTGTCAGTTCCTCTCCCATCCACCTCATTCTATTCTGTCATTCTTTTGTGAAATTTTCTCCCGCCTTTCTTCCTCGTCACGGAAATAAGCGTTCATGCAATATTCTTAGTTCATGCTTCGTCCCTTGTACAGATCCCCTCTCTATTCCTATCAAATTCATATCAAATTCACTCCAACACCAAAGCTTGCATCGTTCTCTCTCTTCCCTCTTCCTCTGTCGCTCATTTTGCGAATGATTCAAAACACTAGGACGTTATTCCACTGAGTCGCCCTCATGATTTGCACCATCGCGCCTTTTTACCTTCGAGAAGTACTTATATGAAAATGCCAGAGCGGAGCACTCGTAGTAGATTTCGTTCAAAACAACTCGTTTGCTCCGACCCTCGGGTGGAAGTGCAGTGCAGCATCTCACCCAACTCACCTATCCCATCCGCCAGTTCCAACGGGGCTGAAAACCCAAATACACGCTGCCGGCTACTCAATTTTTCCCTTCACTCCCTGAATAGTATTCCTTCCCACCCATCTCTCCTCCTTCCAGTCGCCGCCTTTCGTGATCCCATAGACGTGCTATCGGCGTCTCACATTTCCCCTTCACTTACTCCCCCTATCAATCCCTTCCCAACACATCCCCACCCATTTTCCACCTCAACCATCTCTCCTCCTTTCAGCCGCCACCCCTCGTGATCCCATAGACATGCTACCGGCGTCTCTCTGGCACCGCGTGTTCCGCTGCCTGCTGCTGCTGCCCGGCTCCTCCCACCCCGAGAACCCCCTCGCACGGGGCAGACAAAAGACCCCCTGGTGCCTCACCGCTACAATGCAGCCTCCAGCGGGCAGAAACCTGCCCGTGAAATTCGTGGACCCTGGCTTCACAGCAGCCGGGCAGCACCATAAGAATGCGAGGAGCTATGGCAGCGGCTGGGCGCTGCTGTGCTGCGGCATGGTCAGCAAGAGCCTCCTCAACCTCCTCCATTCCTTCTCTGTGAGTGCCTTGCTGCGCTGCTTTGCGCATGGGGATGTAGTGAGCTTCAGTAGCCCTTGCTGTGAGTGCTCTGCTCTTCTCGTAACCTCGACAGGGCTGCTGCACTTGGGCATTGATGCAACCGCCACATGATCCCCGCCAACCAGCAGCCTGCATACCATCCCTCATGATCTCCCCTATTCCCACCATCCCATCCTGCAGGCCCACCACCCCATCGCTCTGGTCTACAGCGACCTGTGTCCTCAGTGGGTCAAGAGCGTCGCATCGTTTGCATCATGCTTCAGACCTGGAATTCCTAGCATTGCTCCTTGAAAAACTTTCCGGTGCTTCATTCCTTCTCCCATCTCTCTCCGCAGGCCCAGCACCCCATCGCTCTGGTCTACTGTGACCTGCATTCTTTGAGTCCCGCTTCAGATCAGGATCTGATCAACCTTCCAGTGGCTCGATCCCCTCTCCCATCCCTCTCCGCTCTGCAGGCCCAGCACCCCATCGCCCTGGTCTACTGCGACCAGCATCCTCAGTGGGTGAAGAGCGTCGCCTTCTTTGGATCTCGCTTCTGTGTCAACCTTCCGGTGCTCCCTTCTTCTCCCATCCCTCTCCTCTCTGCAGGCCCACCACCCCATCTCCTTGGTCTACAACAACCTGCACCCGCAGTGGGAGAGGAGCGTCGCCTTCCTCCTGCGCTGGGGCGGCCTCAGGTCCCTCGCCCTCACCTACACGCACATCATGCAACTCGATACCCTCGACTCCTACGAGGACAAGTGCCACTTCTTCTCCCTCACCTACCTCAGTCTCAAGCTGCGCGGCTGCGTGGACACCTCCCAGCTGTTTGACGACGTGGCGTAGGACGATCGGCGCGAGGTGGAGCAAGAATGCTGGACCCATTACCTCCACTGCCCACGTCTGCAGCAGCTGAAGCTGGGGCGCGGCAAGTGGGTTCTCCGGGCCGGCTGGGCGGATGGGTTCAAGGCGCTGCGCAGCTTGACTCTCAAGCAAGTGGACTGGGATTACGTGGATTTCAAGTATCTCGCCAAGATCACACCGCAACTCACGGAATTCACGCTTTACGAGGGCTGGGATCTGGATAACCCGTCCTACGGCCCTCGTGGTGGCGGCAACAACAGATACTCGTTCGACTTGTCATCGGCCCGCGTTATCCGGTTCTACTTTGCGCAAAGCAGCCTCACGCTCTTCCTCACCCTCTCCCACTCGCTCAAGGCCTTCTCAGCCGTGGCCAAACGGCTGGTCCTCTCCTGCAAGAGCACCGTTCCTCTCTATCTCCACCACCTCTCGCTGTACGGCCAGGAGCGTCTCGTCGTCTCCTCCCTCCGCCTCGCATCCGCACGAGTGGCCTACCTCAACGGCCCTCCCAGCGATTACCATAGCCGCGACGACGACCATTACAGCTACTGGGACTCCCCTGAACTGTCCCCTGACCGCCGCAACTCACCTAGATTCTCCTGGATTGCATGGCTGGCTGCTATAGCACCAACGGTGGAGGTGCTTATACTGAGGCACGGGGTGCCTATAGAGAAGGTGGGCGCGGAGTGGAGCTGCCTGCGCAGCCTTGGGATTGTCGTGGAGAATGAGGAGCGGTTTGAAATGAATCTGGAGGTGGAGAGGCGGCGGGATGATGGTGAGAAGGAGGTTACAGTGGAGGAGTTTCAAGAGCGGAATCAAAGGCAGAGGATTTTGCAGCAGCAGCAGCGGCAGCAGCAGCCGTGGCGGCAGTAGGAGGAGCAGGAAGAGGAGGAGGAGGAGGAAGAGCAAGTAGGAAAACCCCCTCTTATAAGGGCTCCAAACTTGCAAGCGATATTCTTCACCACCCGCACATGCGAGCAGCAAACCCTTGCTTTCCTTCGTGAATCCTATCCCTCCCTCGCCCTGTACTGCATCGCATGTCGTTCGTTCTACTGGGAGAAGCACGGGAAGGAGTTGGCTGAGACCCCTTTTGAGGCGCCTCAAGAGAAGCAGGGGAAAGAAATGGCTGAGACCCCTGTGGTGCATGTGAGGAAGGGGAGGAGCGGGGTGTCGAGCAATAGTTGGGGGGGGGAGGCAGCCGAAGAATGTGAGGGAGAAGATGCACGGTGTGAATAGGGAGCTGGTTGAAGGGTACAGTGTTGATACAGATGAGGCTTATATGCTCAAGTAAAAAGGCAGCCTCTGGGGGACTTACTGTCGTTACAGCCTCTAGCGTTCATTTATTGGTGTGTACAAGGTCTGGGTCGACTCAACTCTCACTTATACAGATGAGGCTTATATGCTGAAGTACAAAAGGAGCCTGTGGAGGACATAATCCTGTAATAGCCTCTAGCATGCAGTTGTGTAGACATGCCGATGGCGGAAGATGCACAGAAGCAACCAAAAAACGTGAGGAAGAGAATGCACAGCGTGGTATTGATTAATGTACGACATACGATGCAGTTGCTGTCATGTACCATATGTTCTATAAAATATTATAGCCAAACCACTTTTACACGTACATAGACATCAACAATCTGGGCTTGTTTAGCAAAATATCTCCTTCAGAACTCCCTTTCCTCCTCCCTAACACCTCGCCTCACTATCTGCTCTCCTTTCCTGTACTGACTTCAACCATTAGCATGCGCCCTGCCAACCAGCAGCAAACAAGGGAGGCAGCTGCGGCGGGAACAACAATGCCTCGACACTGCAAATATCCACCATTATTACCACCCTACCCTACTGCTAACACCCATCGCTCTGCCCATCACCAATTGCACCCATCTATTCCACCACGCCCCCACGACCACACACACCACTCTTCTCGCAAGTGTTGCCACCACTGCAAACAGCACAAAACACAACACCCTTTCTGCTCTTCCGTGCACACACCCGCCACTTGCACCCCTCACACCTACGATACATACCCTTCTCACACCTACCGGTACTACCCCGGCTGGTCTTGCCCTTCTCCTATCAAAACACGAAGTGGTTCAAAGATTCTGAAGGACTTGCATGATCTTATCATCCTGCTCCATGAATTCCCGCTTTACGGTGTGTAGGGCACGTCCTGGCAACACCCACACTGCAGGCTCATTGGAAGCATCATGATCTGGCCTGTCCTGCTCTACATGCTATTTTCTCCGGTTCTCTCCCTCCCCTTCGCACCGGAACGACCGCCCAACAATGGAGTAGAGCGCCAAAGAAGGGAACTGCATGCGCAGAGAAACTAGAGTGCTGGACTGCCAGTGTCGCGTGGCGAAGAAAATCGACTGTAGATTAAGACCATTGATGAAAGGGGGGCGAATGCCTTGGTGCTCACTAGTGCTGCTGGTGCTTCTCTCTCCTTCTCCACCAATGCCCATCCTCTGGAGAAACAAACGTTCAGCATCCTCCACTGTAACCATGTCATCACTCCAACCACCACCGACTCTCCTGCCTCTCATGCAAATCCCGAGGGAGCGCAGGCAGGTCCATTCTGCAGACACCTCCTCTAGCGGCAAGCCATGCCTCACTATAACCTTCTCCACTGTTGGCGCTATGGAGCTGAGAATCAGCGTCAAGGAAAGCATATCCCCCATATGCTGGTGCTTTCCTTGGGTGTGTGGTCCGTCTAAGAAGACTGTTTTTGCAGAAGCCAACTGGAGTGAATATACTGTGAAGAAATGAGAATGATTGACTAGGAAATGAGTTGGGTACAAATATGAAACCCTAGGAAACTGTGCCCCATAGTGTCTACCCCACTACAGCCTACACAGGCTATGTGATTAATGTTTGACATATACTTCAAGCTGCAAGTGGCCAATTAGAATCAAGGAGTCAAGATGAAGAGGGCTGGCGCACGTGCAGTTGACCTTCAGCTCGTCGGCTATGACAGAGAGTTCCTTCAAATTGGGAGGGAGAGAGAAGTCAACGGCAAGCAATTGCCGTGCAGTACTGAATCTGATAACCCGTGCAACAGAGAAGTCAAGTTTGAGGCTAGGAATGAGACTTCCAGGGTAAGAGAGGGAGAATTGATGCAGCTGCGGTGTGATGGAAGACAGAAAGTTATAGTCATAGCTGCAGCTTCTCAAATGCTCAATGGTCAGACTCCGTAGTGCCTTCAACGATGCTGCTTTCACGTTGTTTAGTTGCCAAAGCCCACGGCCTAGCTTCAGCCACTGTAGCTGACTAAACTTCTCGAGAAAGGCCACATTGAGGTGCTCGAAATTGATGGATTTTAAACTGGTTAAACTATCCTTGACCTTAAGACACAGGCTGGTAAGGGAGTGCAAAGAGGATGCCATCCGCCGGTGGAGGCGCTCCAGATCCATGGAGCTGCTGAAAGTGAGGCTGAGGGAAGCGTGACCTCTTTGTTTAAGGAACCAAAAGATTTCTCGGTTTCAACGAAGCTCCTGGTCATTGAAATTCAGGAATATGGGCTCCACCTCCTGCATCCACAAAAGAGAGGAAAAGCCAGAGCCCGATTTCCCATCATGCCATGAGAAACATTGCACCAAAGACTGTTATTGTTGAATGCGAAGCAAGCAAAGCACTCACGGAGAAGGAAATGACATGGCGGAGCAGCTTCTTGCTAGCCATGGCACAGCTTAGCAGGCGCCAGGAGGAGCCAAAGCGCCTGGCGTTCTGCTCATACAGCTCCCTGTCAGAAAGTGGATTCATAGTGGGACAGTACTCGTTGTCCTCTTCAATCTCGAATGAGAATGGCGAATCAGGCTGCTGCTGCTGCAGAGCGACGAAGTCACACAAGCCGCTCACTGCTCCCCTCAATGATAACTCCTCACAAGAGGCGTCCAACTTTTGCTTATGAGTGGGATCAGCCGGTGGCAGCAGCAGGAGGCGGAAGATGATGTGCCAGATGGGGCCGGGCAGCAGATCAACCACGTCCAAGCTCTGATGGGTGTTGTAAGAGAAGCAGTGGATATGAGAGAGGAAGAGACAGCGAGAGTGGAATAGGACCAGGCAAGTTAGCGCGAGGAAACGGAGAAGTCAGATGGCACTGTCTGCGGCATCACGCTCACCTGGTGAGAATTCTCAGCAGCCGCGGGCTGTGTGAGTTCGAGAGCAACCATTCTCTCTTCCACACCTGCATCCCCATGACTAGAGGCCATTTATGCAGTGACGCCTACGGGATGGGATTCGACAAGGCTAAAGCGACTCGTCGGAGATTGAGGAATGAAGAAAAAGAGGAACATAAAGAGGAAAATATTTACTCCGCAGCAGGCTATTACGCAATTGGCAAGCAAGCAGAGGCCGCCTGCCGTTGAGTTTGCCGACCTGAATCTTCTGATACTCGAAGCCACCCGGTCGTACCACAGGACAGCTCGACCCGTAGTCGCAAAACCTTGAAACCCTACCCTCACTGGTCAGAATAGGGCACGACGAGGTTCGCTTGTCGTCGCCATGGCGGTGGTGGTAAACAGCGGCTCGACGGTCTGACCGAGTCCGTGGCATCGCGACACGTCAGGCACGGGACGCTGCTGAGCGATGTGGACAATACGCGCGGACATCGCGGTAGTCCCACGGTTCGTTCCACGGTGTACCTCTGAGCAAACTCGCCTTCGGAGTGGGGCAAAGAATGTAGGTCGTCGTTTCTGTCACACGCATGTTTAATCGAAACAATCAACTGCGACACGCCACATGTTGCCTCGGCTCTTATGGTAGCTGGACTCGCTCTCAGGCTTCGGGTGCCTGACGTGTGGCAGCTCCTGTTCCATTCGGCCAGACGATCTGAGGCTCCACGAAAGTCATTCGCGTTGCATCTGTTTCTTTCATCCAGCTAGCAAGGAACCTCCGTTGAGCTAGCTGCTTGTCCCTTGGTCCTAGGCCCGAGACAGCCATTTACACACCTAGCTGCTTGAACCATCGGAAGCGCCAAAGACCAAGGTGAGAGTTTGAAACATACCTGCGACAAGATGACTTGCTCCCTGATTCTACACTCGTGCAGGTGGTGCGTTACTGTACTAGGTTCCATGCATAATTCCCTAGCGAGTACATATGAGATAAGGATTGGCTAGCTATTCACTACAGGAGAGGGGATGAACAAAGCCCACATAGCACACTTGACTATCAAACCAAGAGAGTTTGCGCAGATCCTAAATTCTGCTGCCATTGAGGTTTCTTTTCTATCCACCCGTACTCTCTATTCTATGATTTGTTGTACCAAGGTGGTAACACCACACCGGCCACATCATGTGGCACCACATGCACTCGCCTAGCAGCAGCAAGAGGAGCTCTATCACCAGCATCAACACTCGTCGCAGCCATACAGCACACATGCCTACCATTCCCAACCACACTGTCAGCACCCCGTACCCATCCCATCACCACCAATTCCACCACCACATCAACCCCATTGACACCAGTATTATCATCACTACAATCCATACACAGTGCCCTTCCTGCTCGACCCTGCAGACACCTCACCCCACACAGCTCCCTCACTCGATTTCACCCCCTCACTACCTTGCCTCACCTTCTCCCACCTCCTCTCAGAGCAAAAGCAGCTCAAAAATCTTGAAGGAACCTCATGGTCCAATCATCCTGCACCTCGGTAGAGGGTAATGCCAACACCAAGGGCTCCTTGCTCCGCTGTTCCCCCTTCCCCTCCCAGAGAAACAATTGACCCACAATGTGGTACCATGCGAGGGAAGGGAAGTGTCTGCGTAGCGACGCCAGCGTCTCCGGCTGAAACTGTCGCGTCGGAAAGTAAAAAAACTTCAAGGCTGGAGCATTGATGAAAGGAGGCCTGATCACTTCTCGCCGGCTGCCCCTGTTCGGCAAATCGTAAGGACCTTCTCCATCCTCTGCTGCCACCATGTCACACTCCCCACCAGCGCTATTGCCCCTCACACCAATCCCGGCAGTGCAGGTGGCTCCACTCTGCATCCAGGTCCTCAAGAGGCCAGTCATGCCTCGCCAGCAACGTCTCCACTGTAGGCGCTATGCTGCTGAGCAGCTTCGTCAAGGCAAGCCGAGAGTCGGAACCTGAAAGCGGAACTGACGGCGGTCGGCCTCTTCGTTGGCCCCTTCGTTGGTGGCGGGTCCGTTCAAAATTGCAAGATCAGCGGACGCCAATGGGAGCGAAGATATGGAGAGCTGGTGGCGGCCAACTAGTTTCAGAGAGTCGAGAGAGAGGGCGCTGTCGCATTTGCAGTCGACGTGAAGAGACGCCGCTGTGAGAGAAAGGGTCTTTAAAGAGGCCGGAAGGGAGAAACGGGCTTTGAGATTTCGGTTCCTAAAACTGACTGTAATGACTCGAGCAACAATGAACTCGAAATCAAGGATGTTAGAGCCATGACTGGTGAGGGTAAGTGAGAATTCGTGTAGCTGCGGTGAGATGGAAGACAGGACAAAATAGTCGTCTCCGTAGCTAGACACGTACTCGATGCTCAGACTCCTTAGTGCCTTGAACCATGCAGCATTCAAGCTCCACCGTCCACAGCCTAGCTTCAGCCGCTGCAACTGGCCAAATTTCTCAAGAAAGGCTGGATAGGTCTGCCCGGTCCTGAAGTGGTTAACTTCCCCTGGGTTGGCAGATTCCTTAATTTCCAGGCTCACTCTTGCGAGGGAGTGAGCAGAAGATGCTATAAGATCACCGATCGTCTACAGATCCTTCAGGCTCCTGAAATCAAGGTCAAGGGACTTGTGACCTGACTGTTGAAGGAACCAAAAAAACGTTTTGTTCCACTTGGGATCTTGCGTGGTCTGTACGAGGGAGATAGGCTCCAGCTCCTGCGCACACAGAGAGCGGAACTTTTCCATACTGTGATCTTTGACAAATGGGTAGAGGACATCAGTAGAGTCAGTACGGTTCATCAGAGCTTGTGTTCTGAGAAATTTTGAAAAAAAAAAAACAACTCCTACTGATATTGCATGCTGTGAAGAGGAGGCTGCATGACAGAATGAAGAAACGTCAGAGCACTCTTAGAGAAGGAGGTGAGATGGCGGAGAAGTAGGTGGTTGGAATTGAGAAGCAGTCAGTGACTCACGGAGAAGGAGATGACATGGTGAAGAAGCCTCTTGCTGGCCATGGCACAGCGCAGCAGAGGCCAAGAGGAGCCGAAGCACCTCGCGTTCTCCTCATGCTGCTCACTGGCAGAAAGCGGTCTGGTATCATCAACACATGAGATGCTGCCTTCTCTCTACTGCAATTCGCCAAAGGGGTTACCCTGATTATGCAGCTCAGTGGAATCAGTCGGCCGCAGCAGCAGGTGGCGGAAGATGATGTGCCAGATGGGGCCGGGCAGAAGATCAACCACGTCTAGACTCTGATGGGTGGGTGGGGAAAATACTTTTTTTTAAGAGAAGAGAGGAGGAATCGAGGGGGAAGCAGAAGTGGGATCCGGAACCAGAGGATCAGATGCAATGTCTGCTCTGCGGCATCATTCTCACCTCACGATTATGTGCAACCACGTCTAGAATCTGGTGGATGGGGAAGTATCGGAGATGCGATTGTAGGAGGGAGGGGGGAGCAGAATTGGGATGCGAAACCAGAGAATCAGATGCACTGTCTGCTCTGCGGCATCATTCTCACCGCACGATTATGTGCAGCATCAGACGGTGTTGCCGGATTGAGAGCAGCCATTTCCTCCAGCACCTCCTTCCTATCGCTAGCCATGGCCTGCGACAACTAACAAGGTGGTCGATTTGTCTAGGCTAAAACAGAGCTCGATGTTAGGTTGAGCTCGCTAATATACTGGTTCACATACGTACGGCATATTCTCCCCCAACTGCCGGCGACATTTTATTCGCTGAAGCTGAGTTAAACTGAACGGATGATATTCCGAATATCAACCGAATATCAACTTTTCAGGAGAAAACGAGTCATTTTTTTCCTGGTTGTCCTACGCGTCTCTCGCGGTGCTCACAGAATCAGAAGTGAATGCCTCACTCTTCAAAGACAGGCACGACGAGGTTCGACTATCAGTGCGAGCGTAAAGTCGCAATAATCATGCCGTGCTTTTGCTCCTATCGGTGCGTTTCGAGACCAGTGGCACCAGCAACAGCGCCACGTGTCGACTCGACATCCTAGCTCAGCTTGCATAGCATCCATGCTCGCTCTCTCGTCCGTCTAGTTGGCTGGCTGTCACATGAATGGCTGTCACATGAACGACCTTCGAGTCCGCAGAGAGTGACGGTCTGGGGATACCACCCCCTCCCGCATCGAGTCACGATGGTAACCGTTTGAAAGTGACCCACTTTACGCTTCAGCCAACTCCGTTTAGTGAACATGTGAAACAAGTATTTGTTGTATTGAAGTACTGATAACTAACAACCGTGTAACAATTCTTGCCTTTCGCACGCTGCGTGTACGCTGCATATCTTCCCGACCAGAGTTTTTTTGAAAACATCAGTTTCATTACCACCCTCGCTACAACCCACCATCGCCTCACACTACCACTTATTCTAACACCAACGCTTGCCCCTTATCCTTTTATAACCTCGAGCACACTTCCTCCTTCACACTAACCATGTCCCTTCATTGCACAAGCTCAAAGGCATTGAAGGCCATCCATAAAGTCGCCGACAGCCATCTCGCCACTTGATCTTCCATCTGGCTCGGGGCGAGGAGCGTTTGAAGCGGACCGATGCGCACTCACACACACATGTGCTGACTGAGCCGCTTACTCCCAATGGGATTCCAGCAGAACGACCTGCCAACAACGCAGTAGATCTCCAGGGAGGAAGTCCTCTTGCAGAGACACGAGAGTGTCAGGGTTGCACCGGCGCGTGGCGAAAAGGAGAGACTGCAGCGCAGGGGCATTGATGTAAGGAGGCCTTGGTGCTTCACGATTCCTGCTTCGACTCCTCCTCCTGCTGCTGCTGCTGCTGCTGCTGCCACGAATGCCACAGCTGCCGCTGTTATCACCTGTGCCGCTTCCTCTATCTCCTCCCCCATCAGCACCTCTCCTCGGGTACAAACGCCGCCTGCATGAGCCTTTGCTGCCACCACTGTCGTCTTGCGCCTTTCCTCACCCGCCTTGCTCCCACGCACACCGATGGCCAGGCGGTGCAGCTCACTCCACTCGCCCTCCACTGACTCTATCGGCATCGAGTGTGGCACCATCAGTGCCTCCACTGTTGGGGCTATTGATTGCAGCACGCGGATCAATGATAATTCAGACAAGGATAGAGAGTAAAGGTCCCGAGAGCTGGGAGGCTGATTCAGAGAACTCGGAGGTGGGCGAGGGGGGTTGGCTAGTGGATTGACTGTCTCCTCTTGCATGCTGGTGGGAGGGATGCCACCACGAGGCGCTTGCAACCAATCAGCATGAGGAAATCGAGGGAGAGAGAGTCCGCTGAAACAGACAAAGACTTGAGAGAGGCAGGGAGGGAGAGGTTGAGGTGCACTCTGTGCTGGTCCAACACGAGGTGGATGGATTGAGCAACGGAGAAGCTAAGGTTGAGGGTGCAGACCCCCTGGTTGAGAACGTTAGAGTGAGAGTCCGTACAGCTGCGGCGTGATCTGGGCCAGAGACTCGAAATCCGAGGCGGTGCAGTGGGAATGGTGGATGGTGAGGGCCCTTAAGGCTTTGAGCCACAAGGGGTCGAGGCTGGTGAGGTTCCAGCTGGCACGCTCCAGATGCAGCTACTGCAGCTGCGGACAGTGCTGGAAAAACACTGGGGAGACGCGCATGTGCTGTTCTGCACGCCGCTACTGCTCTGCATGGCCGTGTTGCTCTGCATGGCCGTGTTGCTCTGCATGGCCGTGTTGCTTTGCATGCCTGTGTTGCTCTGCATGCCTGTGCTGCTCTGCATGCCTGTGCTGCTCTGCATGCCTGTGCTGCTGGGCATGCCCATAGGGGTCTTCCCAGTGGGATGCATCCCTGGGCGTGGGCCCCAGGCAAAAGGAGGTGAGGGGGTGGCCAGAGGCTCTCATTGTGCTGTGTAGGTCCTCCTAGGTGTGGCAGTGCAGGTGGGCTTCCGAGCTCTGATGGGTGGAGAGAGAGAAGAGAAGCACAAGCGATGAGGTGAAGAACGTTTTTTATATAGTTCTGAAAAAACACAGAGGTTCTCATTGTGCCGCCGAAGCTGTGCAGGTCCGCCAAGGTGTGGAAGTGCAGACGAGCTTCCGAGCTCTGATGGGTGGGGAGAATGAAGCACTGGCGATGAGGTGAAGAGCGGGAGAGGTGAGAATTCAAAAGATAAACACAGAGGCTCTCATTGTGCTGCTGAAGCTGTGCAGATCCGCCAAAGTGTGGAAGTGCAGGTGGGCTTTTGAGCTCTGATGGGTGGGGGGAGAGAAACACTGGCGATGAGGTGCAGCGTGGGAGAGGTGAAATTGGGGAGGTGAGAGGAGAGGAGGGATGGGGAAGATGAGAGGGGGAGAGGAGGGCTGGGGGAGATGAGAGGGGGAGAAGAGGGACGGCGAAGATGAGAAGGGGGGAGGAGGGATGGGGGAGATGAGAGTGGGAGAAGAGGGATGGGGGAGATGAGAGGGGGAGAGGAGGGCAGCTCCCACTCTCATCCCCCACCCTTCTCAACCCTTCTCAACCCTTCCCAACCATCTCATCCCTCTCATCCTCTCACCTCTCCCATCCCTCTCACCCCTCTCACCCCTCTCACCCCTCTCACCCCTCTCATCTTTCCCATACCTCTCATCCCTCTCACCCCTCTCACCCCTCTCACCCCTCTCACCCCTCTCATCTATCCCATCCCTCTCACCCCTCTCACCCCTCTCATCTATCCCATCCCTCTCATCCCTCGTTCCTCTTATCACCTCGCCCCCCTCGTTATTCTTACAATTCTCACCAGTCTTGTTGGAGTATGAAGGGAATTATACTTAGCATTCCCGTAGGTGCAGCAGTATCGCACCAGTCTCTATCGAAGCAGCGCTAGCAGCAGTGTCGGATCAGCCTATATCAAAGGCATGAAGGTCAACAGTCGCAAGAGTCAACTGTCGCGACTGTTGACCATCTGGACCGACGGTTGACTCACCATCGAGGAATGGCAACAGGCGTAACCGTATGTACAGGTTACATGCAGCGACTCGGTAACAAGAAAGTAGTGCAACAGTCAGAGTCACTGTAGAAATGCCTGTAAAGCAGTTAGAATAAGGGAATGTACCCCTCAGAGTACATGGCTAGCTAGGAACTATTTATTATATGTGTAATCCTTTGTTTAATCAACTTGGTCATTTACATTCACTATGATCTGAGTTCTTACAACAAGACTTCCGCTACCAACTCTACTAAGCAATTCCTATCCTATCCAAGGTCCTTATTCTAACAAGTCTCATTCCTCTCTTCTCTCACACCCCTCTCATCCCTCTCACCCCTCTCACCCCTCTCATCCCTCTCACCCCTCCCACCCCTCTCACCCCTCGCACCCCTCTCCTCCCTCGCACCTGATCATACGCATCAGAGAGAGGCTTCCTCTTATCAACTACACGGGATGCATCCTGTCCTCTCGGATCAGCCCTATCATCCTCTCGGATAGCCATTGCAGGCTAACACTTGAGGCTGGCATGCACAAGATCTCTCGAAGAAGGATCAGCAAAAACAGAAAATAAGTCACTAGACATAGGGTGCAGACGTGGCAGCCATAGAACCAACAATTAGTGATCTGTGAACTACCATAAGAACTCTAATTGAGAATGAACTGAAATCTAAAAAGCAAGTTTCATGATTGACTGTGTGAGGCTCGTTCTGAGGTGACTTTTGAGTCGACTCAAAAGTCGCTAAGTTTCATGATTGACTGTGTGAGGCTCCTTCTGCTGAATGGCTCGAAGAAGCCACCCTCTACAGAAAAGTGCACGGGTGGGTGAGCTCTGTGCAGAGCTGAAACGCAGAAGCATCGAATGCGCCAGAGAGAGCTACTGAGTAGGAGAACACTATTATATGCGAAACTAATGGGAGAGACAACAACGGGAAGTGAAACAAACAAAACATCAATACAAGTACAAATAAAAAACATCAATACAACACATCAATATACAAGCATAAATACAAAGCATCAACACATAGCATAACAATCAGCCCTCATGTTCTCTTCTGCTTTACTGTGCTCAGCTGGTCCAGCACCACCAACCCTGTCCTCTTGACAGCAGCAGGCAGCAGCATCATGGCACCCAAAGGCATGATGATCAGCTGCCCCAGCCGAACACACACCACACTAGGCCCACCGTTGTCACCCCCACTGCTACGGTAGCACCCATCGCCATCCCATTGTTATGGGATTGCCATGCACCACCACAGGTTCACTCCACCCCATGATCACACCACCACATGCTCACACCACCCCATGGCCATACCACCCCATGGCCACACCACCCCATGGCCATACCACCCCATGGCCATACCATTGCCACCATCGTTATCAGCACACACCACCCTTCCTGCTCGTCCCTGCACCCACCTCCCTCACAGATGCAACCCTCAAACCTCCTTGCGTCTTCATTCATCTGGACCCGAACAATCCCACCCCCTCTCCTTGTCAAACTAAATATATGATTGCTAGGCTGTAGTGAGGTACATCTTAGGGGGTACACTATTTCTCTCGACTGTCATACTTGAATCTCATCCTGCCAAGTCACACTCACCTCCACCTAATTTCGGAACACCTTAAGCAGCTCCGTGGCATCGTAAAACGACTCCAGTTTCGGAGCATTGATGCACAAGCCGCTGGTGCTGCTGCTGACGCCCCTTTCTTTTCCCGCACGAAGGCGCTCCCAAAAAGCAGAATCTTGCGGATCCCCCGGACGATATTTATGAATAATCCCCCCAGTCCTCCCTATACCAATGAAAACGCAACGCAGGCGGCTCCACTCCACACGCACGCCCTCCAGAGGCCAGCTGTACCTCAAAACAAGCATCTCCACTGTAGGCGCTAAGCTGCTGAGCAGGTGGGTCAAGGCACGTTGGGATTCAAGATCGGAACATGGAAAACCACGCGACTGGTTTTCTCCATTGGCTGGTCCGTTCAAGTAGACGAATTTGGCGGCAGCCAATGGTAGCGAAGAAACGAGAAGCTGCGAGCGGCCAATGAGAGAGAGCAAGTCGAGAGAGACGCGGCTGTTGCATGTGCAAACCACGTTGAGGCACGCCGCAGTGGCAGAGAAGGACTTCAAAGAGGCAGGGAGGGCGCAGCGGAGGTGGAGCGCTTGGTCCTCAAAGCAGAGCGTGATAGATCGAGCAGCGGTGAACTTGAAATTTAGGGTGGTAGAGCCAGAGCCAAAGCTGGAGGAGGAGAGAGCGAATTCATGCAGCTGCGGTGCAAGGGATGAGAGAAAGGGCAGAGCATTTCTCTCGCGCTCGAAATCGTGGATGCTCAGACTCCTTAAGGCTTGGAACATTGCTGGATTCAGGCTGCCTAATTTCCAAATCCCATGGCCTCCTAGCTCCAGCTTCTGCAGCTGCTCAAACTCCCCCAGAAATTCTGAACGCATCAGCAACTGCCCCGCAGGAATCATTTTTTTGTAAGGTACCTTGAGCCCAAGGGACAAGGTTGTGATGGAGCGCGCAGAGGGACCCAAGAGACGGCCGAGGCAGTGCAGGTCCTGGGAGCTGTTGAGAACGAAATTAAGGGGCGTGTGAGGCGCGTGCCTGAGGAAGACAGAGAGCGTTCCCGAGAGACGTGTGAGCGCGGGGTCTTCGGAGTTGATAGGCAGCGTCATGGGCTCAAAGTCCTGCTCGAACACAGAGTGACAGAGAGATGGACAGAGAGATGGAGAGACAAACACAGCAATTTGAGAGGTGCTAGAGGAGCGACTTTGTGAGTCAACTTGAAATTATGTTGAGAGTTGTTTGGTCGTCATTGGCTCGAAATCTTGCTCACACGCAGCTACGGACACGAAGTTGGTTGAGGAGGCTTAGCCGTGATCGTAACCACTTCATAGATCAGCACCCAGAGAAGAGTTGTACCATGGATTACGGGGAGCAAAGAGGGACTCACGGGGAAGGAGGCGACAAGATAAAGGAGCCTCTTGCAGACCATGGCGCAGCGCAGCAGAGGCCAGCAAGAGCCGAAGGTTCTCGATGCCTCCGCATGTTGCTGCTCCGAGGAGCTACCCCGGTTCCGCAGTTTATTTTTGAGTCGATTCAAAAGTCGAAGGAGACGCGAGGTCCTGCGTCCCTCGTGCAATTCGCCCAGCACCACGTGGCAGAAGATGATGTGCCAGATGGGGCCGGGCAGCAGATCAACCACGTCCACGATCTGGGTTGGGGAATTTTTCCAAAGATCAGAAAGATATATATATAGCGAGCATAAGACTAATCCATTGTCTTTTCCTGAGGAGGATGTGGTGAGAATCGAGGGAATCGAGTAAGAATGGTGTGATGTTTCACTGGCTGCGGCATGACTCTCACCTCATGATGATTCTCGGCATCAGCGGGTGCTGTAAAACTGAGAGCTACCTCATCTCCACGGCTAGCCATCACCGCCAACGATCAGCTACGCAACGGCCGGTGAATAGGCAACAACTGCGTTCGAATACAGGAGGGTTTCGACAAATGACGACAGGAAATTCATGGAAGCCTTCTGAGCAAGAAGCTTTGTTTGAAACAGCTCTGATCAAGAAATAGCTCTGATTGAAACAGCTCTGTTCGTTAGGAATCCACCACGAGACTCAGGCAAGCCCCAACTCGAATCTAGCTGCTTTCATGCTAGCAGCGGTAGGCTAGTGGCGGTGAACTGTGTTGTGGTGCTTGCCTTGTGGTGGATTTGTAATGAAATCTGCTGCTGATCCTACACGTCGCTCGGGTTACTCCCCTCCTGTCACGCAATCATGAAGCACTCCCTCCTCCGGACACCTCTGTGACCCGCGCTCTACTGTATCAGTATCACTCGCTGCGCCGGCGAGGACAGGCATTTCAAGGACCGCCTGCAGCGCATCGCCGATCGCCCGAGATGTAATTTGTCAGCCAGTTGAAATGCATCCATACCACCTGTTTCTAAAACCAGTAACTTCGCTTCTCAAGCAAGAAAAGGCGGAAACTGCAAGTCCCCGAAGGCTGGCCTCGCCTCACAAACACCAGCAGAGTTTGACAGGGAGATGGAACGCTTGTGGGTTGGCCAAGCAAGACTTGATCGAGTGGTTCTGATCTGATGTGAACTGTTCTGATCTCCCATGACACGACACGAAGACTGGGATAGAAAAATCTCCTTCATTGCCATCGAGCCAATAAGAAGGCTGTAATTTCCCAAGAGTTTGGGCATGGCAACCAATCATCGAGCCCATCGACGCCCGATATCCACACCTGGCGAAATGGTAACCAGCGCATTGTGCCCTGCTATGACTCGTGAAATTGGAGATTCCTTCCACGTGACAGGCGAGTTTCCGCGTGTCAATTTCCGAATCCCCAGTTCCTCCCTTTCTCAGCGGATGTGGCTGACACGTAGCGAAACATAGTAACTCACAGGAGGGCGAGTGCCGAAATTCGCCACGAGTCTCCCTCACCTTTCCTCCCTAATTCGTTGACTGTCGCGAAAGTCCAACGCACACATTACAGATAGTCGCACACCACACCACACCTTCCTGAGAGAACATGAACTCCTCTCACCACCGTCATATGCGCTGCTGGCGTTCGTCCTCGTCAAATCCGTTCTCCCTCATCTCCCTTCCTCATCAAATTTTCTCGTTCTCAGTTGACTCCGCAATGGCACGCACCGCGAACGCCGTCGCCATACCGCCATGCCTCTCAGGGCAACGGGGATGGGACCGCCATAGGCCAAGATCTGCGACGAGACGCGTTCAGACAATCTCCCATGCGCCGCTCGACTCACAAACTTTTGATCATCCAGGACAGGGTTGAAATAATACTTTCTTGCGGAACCAGACGCTAGTGGTAACCATTCAAGTCGCCAGTCGCTGAAGCCTGTCGCAAGAACAACACGCGTTCCGGTACTGACGCCTAATCGTCATTCGACGTGAGAAAAATCGCTCCTAACATGACGAGCCGTTGCGTTGACATCCGGAGGTGTGCATAGGCCCCTTGTGCGAGCTCTATACCGGTATCCAGGTTCCTTTCCATGAGCTTGGTGGTACCTCAGCTTCAGAACATAGCATAAATACAAAACTTAATACTTCACATCAATACAAAACATCAATACATTAATATCAGCCCTCTCCTTTACTGTACTTAGCTGGTCGAGCTCCAGCCCTGCGCTTGACAGCAGCCGCAGCAGCAGGCAGCAGCTGAGACACTGTCTCAGTCAGTAGCAGCATCATTAGCTGTCCCAGATGTACAGGCAGCACAGGACCTCAGTGGCACGATGTGCCCTGATGGGACTGCTCCTCTTCCTGCCGCTACCAGCAGGCCGACTGGTCAGTGGTCATGTAAGTTGCCAAGGGAACTGCCTGCATTTGAGACGTCTCAAAAGTGATCCGGTGCCTCCATGTGGTTTAGTTGCACTGTTTCCTCTCCCTCCTACTACCACTGGCGGTAGATCTCATCATTGATCTTGCAAATTGCAAGCAAAGGGAACTGCCTGCGCAGCGAAACCAGAATGCTGGGATGCCACCTTTTAGTGTCAAGGGTAATATATTTCAGCTTCGGAGCGTTGATGAATGGGCTCCCTGTTTCCCCACCGAAGCACCTCAAGAAATAAGAATCTTTTGTGTCGATCAGTTTTTCGCCATCGAAAAAAAACCCGTCCTCGTCACGGTCCGCACCAATGGTAAGGGCGCACAGGCTGCTCCACTCCGCATGCACGCCCACCAGAGGCCAGTCATACATCATTCTAAGCCTCTCAACTGACGGCGCTATATGGTTGAGCAGGTCGGTCAAGTGAGCTTGGGTGGTTAAATCGTTCCAGTAAAGGTATTTGGTGGAAGATATTGGGAGCGAAGAAACGGAGAGACGTGCGCGGCCACTCAGAGAAAGTAAGTCGAGATAGAGGGGGCTGTCACATGTGCAGTGGACGTTGAGAAACTTGGCAGCGGCCGAGAAGGACTTCAAAGAGGGAGCGACGGCGAAGCGGAGGTTGACCGCTTGATTCTCAAAGCAGACGGCGATTTTTCGAGCAGCGGTGAGCTTGAAATCGAGCGTGGTGGTGCCAGAGCCATGGCTGGAGGAGAAGAGATTGAGTTCATGCAGCTGCGGTGCGACGGATGAGAGAAAGGACAGAGCATGTATGTCGCACTCGAAATCGTCGATTCTCAGACGCCTTAAAGCCCGGAGCCTTGCTGGATTCAGCTTGTCTAGTTTCCAGATGCCACAGCCTAGCTCCAGCAGCTCCAGCTGCTCAAACTCCCCCAGAAATGCCGGACGCATCAGTGGCTCCCTCTCCTGAATACCCTTCCTGGGCCGGTACATGACCTCAACGGACAGGCTTGTGAGGGAGCGCGCAGAGGGCTGCAAGAGACGGTTGATGCACTGCATGTCCTGGTTTGTGTTGAGCACGAGATAGAGGGACGTGTGAGCCGCGTGCCGGAGGAAGTAGGAGAGCATTCCTGCCACCCGGGGGACTTTGGTGTTGAACAGCAGCGCCTGAAGCTCGAACTCCTGCTCGAGGGGCATGGACAGAGAGATGGAGAGAGATGGCTGAGGGATGGCGGAGAGATGGCGGAGAGATGGTGGAGAGATAGCGGAGAGAAGGCGGAGAGATGGTAGAGAGATGGTAGAGAGATGGTAGAGAGATGGTAGAGAGATGGTAGAGAGATGGTAGAGAGATGGTAGAGAGATGGTAGAGAGATGGTAGAGAGATGGGAGAGAGATGGAGAGAGATGGTAGAGAGATGGTAGAGAGATGGTAGAGAGATGGTAGAGAGATGGTAGAGAGATGGTAAAGAGATGGTAGAGAGATGGTAGAGAGATGGTAGAGAGATGGGAGAGAGATGGAGAGAGATGGTAGAGAGATGGTAGAGAGATGGTAGAGAGATGGTAGAGAGATGGTAGAGAGATGGTAGAGAGATGGTAGAGAGATGGTAGAGAGATGGTAGAGAGATGGTAGAGAAATGGTAGAGAGATGGTAGAGAGATGGTAGAGAGATGGTAGAGAGATGGTAGAGAGATGGAAGAGAGATGGTAGAGAGATGGTAGAGAGATGGTAGAGAGATGGTAAAGAGATGGTAGAGAGATGGTAGCGAGATGGTAGAGAGATGGTAGAGAGATGGCGGAGAGATGGTAGAGGAGCAACTTTTGAGTCAACCCAAATTCCCCAAGTGTTGAATAGGAACGTCATGGGTGGCGATCATGTGCACACAGAGATGGGTACAGAGGTGGTAAAGGGTACAGAGATGGTGAAGGGTACAGAGATGGCAGAGGAGCCTAGCCATGACCGTACAGCTCAGCACCCCAGAGAGAAGAAATTACCATGTCCGTGAGATGAAATGTACCCTAAACCCTACCCTGGCAACTCTGAATTGTTCGATGATGGAATGAGGTAAGCAGTGCGTGATGACGTGAAGACTCACGGAGAAGGAAACGACATGTTGTAGGAGCCTCTTGCTGGCGATGGCGTAGCGTAGCAGAGGCCAAGACGAGCCGAAGTGATCCACGGCCTTCGCATGCTGCTCTGAGAAGTCAGAAGGTGGAGTTGCTGTGGCTCCGGACTCCATGCTGCTAGTGGCAGTTCCCTGCAGCAATGCGATCGAGGAGGAGTGATGATCCTGTTCGTCCAGCAGGTGGCGGAAGATGATGTGCCAGATGTGGCCGGGCAGCAGATCAACCACGTCCACCTGGCACTGGCAGGTGAGGAAGTGTTTGGTACGATGAGAAAGAGAGAGGGGAAGCGAGGATTAGCCCAATGCCGGAAGATGATGTGCCTGATGGGGGCGTCCAGCAAAGCAGGTCAACCACGTCCACGCTCTGGTGGATGGGTGCGTAGGGACGTGGGTGAGTCACCACCGCACAGCAGGCGGTGGACACACGTCCTGTCCAGCAGATCAACCACGTCCACGCTCTGGTGGGTGGGTGCGGGGAGAAGTGTTGTCCCTGTCAGGGTACGGGGCGGGAGATTGGTTAAACGCGGTGCCTCTGCACCGCTCGCTGCACCTCGAGGCTCCACATTTTGCCAACGCGCTCCAGTTTCGACTGGGGTTCCCCTTTGCAGCTCCCGGAGTTTGCAACTGCACAAAGAAGGTGGAGATTCCGGATAATCGGCTCCCGAACCACCTGCTACGATGCGGCACAGGGGGAGGGCGCACAAACACGCACAACGAGCTTAGGGACGAATGCGCACGAATGGCGCGTGAGGCTGGCTTCATGGTGCACATCGAGACAGCCGCCTTCAGCCCAGTAGAAGAGAAGAAGGCGGATCTGGCCCTCCGCTGCCGCTCAACAGGAGCCGTCTACATTTGTGATGTGACGGTGACGGACCCCATCAGCACCCGAGATGAGAATGCAACTAAGGGGCGGGGGTGGGCGGCACGGGAAGCAGCAGATAAGAAGCACGGCCTCTACAAGGACTGCCCTGAGTGGGTGAAGTTCTTCCCGCTCGCGGTCGAGACCTATGGGTGCCCATGCCCTGAGACAGTAGATTTCCTGAAGCTGCTTGCGGAAACGGCTGCAAGGCGGTTTTTTAACGCCGAGCCAACCTCCTACCAAGCTGCCAAGCTCCTACACCATTTTCGGCAGCGGTGGTCGGTGGCTCTTCAAAGGGGGCAGTCGATTGGATATCTAGAGAAGTGCAGCATAGCAGCTGCAGTAGAGAACCCGCTGCTAGAGGCAGGGGGTGAGGCCCCGTCCCTAGGGGACTGCCTCTCGGTCCTTGATCCTGCACTGGACCTAGCTTAGAGGGGGTGGGGGAAGTGATGGGAGAGTAGTAAGAGGCTTTATGCATCAGACTCACGTATGGATAACTATCACCTTGCATGCCTGTAAGTCTTGTATCAACCAATGAAAGGGCCATTCGAGAGAGAGAGAGAGAGAGAGAGAGAGAGAGAGAGAGAGAGAGAGAGAGAGAGAGAGAGAGAGAGAGAGAGAGAGAGACACGGCAGGACAACTATGGGCCACGTGCCCACCTTCTAGACACCGAGATGCAACAGGTCTACATACGGCGGGTGCCTGAGGCTACATCAAGTGGGCATCCAGTGCCGCAAGGATACCGCGCATGGTCCTCCACAACTGCTGGACCACTAACGCGGTCGCGCCGACAGCTTCAATCGCGCCTCCATCGCGGAGGTGTGCTGTCAGACCCTGGACCGTCTCGTCCAGCTGCGAGACCGCTACGCCTCCCAACGCAGGCGCTCCCAGCACGGGTAGGAGGAGGAAGGCAAGCTGGGCAGCAGCCGCCATGCAATCAGCTCGCGCATCACGATCAAGAGTGCTCCCTGGGTTTCGGAGAATGGCAAAATGTGAGTTCACCAGAATCAGTGTCAGGGCCTGCTGACACTCCACCAATCGCCACAACTGGGCGAGAGTCGCCGTGGGAACTTGGGCCAGCCCAGTGGTCAGAAGCGCAGCCGGAACAGGAAGAGGGGGCGGGGGCTGCACTGATGGAACATCAGCACGCTGCCGCGGAGGGACAAAGGCCATCCTCGCCCCTCCGCCTCCCGCCCCCACAAATCCCGTGCCCGAAAGAGGAGGAATCCAGGGCAGCGGGGGATATGGCGCAGCAGAAACAGGACACAAGGATGCATGCGGAGCACGATCAGCGCCAGGAGCGGGAACCCGCGGGTACGCCAATGCGGGTGGCGCAGGAGCAGCAAGGGGCGCGGCCGGAGCTTGCGCATTCACTGGAGCGGGGGCGGACGCAGGAGCGGCGGGAGCCAGAGAGTTTCCAAGATTCGGTGCGCCACTCAGAGCACTGCGCATCGCCGCAGCTAACATCCCCGGGAAATCCTCGCGCAACTGCTGCATCTCGCTTGGCCCACCGCGCCCGCGAGCGTGACCTCCCCACCAGCCACCGCGGCCTCCGCGGTGCGCCGACCGGTACGACGAGGAGGGGCGTCGCCGAGGAGAACCTCACCCCCGATGCGCTGCCGCATTGCCCCCCGCGGCACCGTGTATCTGAGACTCCGCGTGCCGCTGCGCGACGGGATGTACCGGCGCAGCCGCAGGGGCCACCAGGCGGGCAGAGTCGGGGCCGGCGCCCACCGCTGTCCCCGGCGCAGGGCCCCCGGCGGCAGCTTGGACAGACGGCGCGGCCACAAGCGACGGCTGCGCGACGGGAATCGGTGCTCCGGACGCGGGAACAACGTGTGGAAAGCTCGGAGGGGGAGCCGACACCGGCGGGACTGGAACAAAGGACGCCGCAACAGCAACAGGAGGAGCCGGGGGGGCAAAGGGAGCAGCAGCAACAGCTACACCAGCAACAAGGGCCGGAGGCGGAGCAATCGCGCTCTCAGCGGTGTGACCTTGATCCACCGCTGACTTCTCCGCTTCAGTCGCCATTGCGGCGAACGCGCCGACAGCAGGTGATCGAGGACGCATGGCTGCGTCAGAACGCGGGAGTAGGTAGTCGCGGAAATCCCCAGCTGACCGCGGCCAGTGCGCGGGCACGAGGGGGTCGAGCCGGAGGCCGCGGACGTGGTAGAGGCACTCGTGAAGGAGGTCCGGAGAACGCGTTCCAGGCAGCGGCGCGAAGGGCTTTAACTGAATTAGCTAGAACTAATGAAGAAGTAGAAGTATCGGGGAGTATTTATGAGGCGGAGGAGGGAGAAGCAGTCGCACCCTCAACTTCGAATGCCTCGGAGGAGGCCCAGTCACAAACTCCAGCTCGGGGGAGAATCAGCTCAACCCATGCCCGAAGCGCGTCATCAAATTTCAGAAACACATTCACCCAGCCGCGACCCTCACCACAGATTCAAACCGCTTCCCGCCCCCCTGCCACCACTGCCAACCATCCCGCCCAACCGAACCTGACTTCGCCACCTGCAAATGAACCGCGAACTGCAGCGAGGGGTAACCAACAGCAACCACAGAGCCCCCCCCCAAAAATCGCCCGAAGCCCTCGCCAAGGACGACACACTATTCGCGAACGTCAGTACCTGGAATCTGGATAAGCTACGCGATAGTCGCAACGCTCCGCTGGCACGTCGCCTGCCGGAAAAATTGCGCCTACTTTTCGCTATGGTTATGCTGACACCACTGCTACGACTCGCACACGACCCAGACTCCATCCCGGCCTGGACGATTCTGCTGTTCGCGGCTTGCCTGACGCTGCGTCAGCATTCGCCGAGGCACCCTGACTGGAAGGCGACCAGGGAAAGATTGCGTAAATTCCTGCGAGGGGAGTGGGAGGCACTGTACCAGGAAACGGTTGATTCGTTGGAGTCCCCTCAGCCACCTAGACACCAGCCAGACGACCTGGGGGTAATATCAAGGGCAGAGGGTCTGGCGCGACGAGGCAGCTTACGCAGAGCAGTCATGGCACTGGAAGCCACCCCAGTCAGCAAGCCATCACCGGCGGTTCTGGAATCCCTTCGCGCCAAGCATCCAAGTGCCCCGCGCCCTGGCACACCGTGGCCCCAGCCTGAACCGGACTCATACCTGGCAGTTTCGCGGGAAGTTTTTCTGAAGCTCCTCTCGCGGTGTGAGAATGGGGTAGGCGCAGGTCCCTCGGGCACAACGTTCGAGCACCTGCGCGAAGCTGCCCTGATACACGCCACCGTTGGGTATCACTTACATGCGTTGGTCAACACAATCCTGAGAGGGAAGTTGTGTCAGGAAGTAGGGAAGCTCCTCACAGCATCACGTTTGATAGCCCTAGACAAGCCCGATGGGGGGACCAGGCCGATCGCCATAGGAGAGTGCGTCCTCCGATTGGCAGCCAAAGCAGCGCTTACCCAGCTAGCAGAAGCAGCCCGAGAGTTTTTCCTACCTTTACAGTTTGGAGTGGCCGTGCCAGGAGGTGCCGAAGCAGTCATTCATATCGTTCGCACTTTCACTGCGGCCAACAAGGACGCCTTGGTCTTACAGGCTGACCTGGCCAATGCGTTCAATAGTGTTGACCGCCATGCCATAGAGACGGCCTTGAAAGACTCACAGTTGGAACCACTGCTGCCACTGGTACACTTCTCATACGGCCAGCCTTCAATACTGCACCTAGACGCGGCCTTCGACCATCCGCCCCTGCTCAGTGAAACAGGAGTCCGCCAGGGGGACCCTCTCGGCCCCCTCCTTTTTGCCGCCGCCATGCAACCGGCTCTGAAGGCGGCTGCGGAGGCGCACCCCGAGGTCATCTGCTTGGCATACGCAGATGACGTGACCTTCTTGGGGGAACTGTCGTCGTGCGCGGCTGCGTTTAATCACTTCACAAGCCGCTTGGCTGAAATAGGGCTCAGCCACAATCCTGCCAAATGCGGGGCTTGGTCAGAAAGGACGCCCACGGATTATCGCCTTCCCGAGGGAATACCACCGAGCAGCGAAGGCTTGAAAGTGCTGGGGAGCTACATCGGCTCCTCCTCGGCAACCTCTGCCTTCGTTCGTTCCAGCTTGGAGGCGATGGGCGCGCCGCTGGGGTTGATTGAGCGCATGGAGCCGCAGCTGGCGGCACTGCTGCTGTCCCGCTGCATCTCACGGCGGGTGTCATACTTAGCCCGCACAACTCCTCTGCCTTTCCTGCCCAAGGAGGAGTGGTCTGAATGGGGAAGGCGGCTGCTGGAAACGCTCCTTACAGCATGTGGCATTAACCACCCGCGGGGGGATGAGGAAACTTCTCGCACGTGGGCGCAAGCCTCACTACCCATATCGCTCGGTGGCCTGGGGCTGACGGACCCTTTCGTGGAGGGAAGCTACAGCTTCCTCTCCAGCTACACGCAGGCGCAGCTCTTACTCGACTCCTTGGACAGCGAGTGCCCTGGCCCTTTGGAAGTCACGCGCGAGCTGATGCGCGGCCCCTACACCGAGTCCTCCCCCCTGACCGAGTGGTTGGCGGAATGCGAAGGGGAACTCCCACTTCCAGCCCAAGAAGTTCTTCAGGCTGAGAGATCGGCTCTAACTGCGAGGAAACTGCAGCACGGGTTGGCCACGGCTATCCAGGGCCAGCGCTATGCCGTGCAGGTGGACGAGGTGCGGGGGATGAGCCCGAACCCCAACAACGGTCACACGCAGCGGATGCTGTCCCTGTCGGGGTATGGGGCGGGGGATTGGTTAAACGCAGTGCCTATCCACTCCTCGCTCCGCCTTGAGGCTCCCCACTTTGCCAACGCACTCCAGTTTAGGCTGGGGCTCCCATTTGCGGCTCCTGGGGTTTGCAACTGCTCGAAAAAGGTGGAGATCCCGGATAAGCGGCTCCCGAATCACCTGCTACGATGCGGAACAGGGGGGGGGCGCACAAACACACACAATGAACTTAGGGACGAGTGCGCACGGATGGCGCAAGACGCAGGCTTCATGGTGCATATAGAGACGGCCGCCTTCAGCCCAGTGGAGGAGAAGAAGGCAGATCTGGCCTTACGCTGCCGCTCCACTGGCGCCGTCTATATCTGCGATGTGACGGTAACGGACCCCATCAGCACCCGCGATGAGAACGCCACCAAGGGGAGGGGGTGGGCGGCACGGGAGGCAGCAGATAAGAAACACGGCCTTTACAAGGACCGCCCAGAATGGGTGAAGTTCTTCCCACTAGCGGTCGAGACATATGGGTGCCCTTGCCCAGAGTCAGTAGACTTCCTGAAACTACTCACGGAAACAGCTGCACGGCGGTTTTTCAACGCCGAGCCAACCTCCTACCAAGCTGCCAAGCTCTTACACCAATACCGGCAGCGGTGGTCGGTGGCTCTTCAGCGTGGGCAGTCGATCGGGTACCTAGAAAAGTGCAACATAGCAGCAGCGGTTGAAAACCCGCTACTAGAAGCAGTGGGAGAGGCCCCGTCCCTTGGGGACTGCCTCTCGGTTCTTGATCCTGCACTGGATCTCACTTAGAGGGTGTTGGGCGGATGGGTGGATAGGAACTTTACTCTGTACTAGCCACTTGACCACGATCACGTATGCCTTGCATGTCTGTACACCTTGACTATCAATGAAAGGGCCATTAGAGAGAGAGAGGGGACAGCAGCACGTGCATGGTGGTATGGCATGATGAGGTGACTTCTGAGTCGACTCATTCATCACATTGTTATCTCCCCTCCTGCTGTCAGGTCGCCTTCTGCCCGCACCACCTGGGGTGAGACAAGAAGCAAAAGAGGGACGGTAAAAGAGAGAGGAGAGAGTTGAGCATACCGGAGTGAGGAGGCGGGGAGGCGGAAAGCAGAGGCACGAGGGCCTCTACGAGAATCTTCACTCATGGTTATATTGAAACCACTTTTGAGAATTCTGAAATCACTTTTGTGAATTCTCATAAGTGATTTCAATATAGCAGAGGCACGAGGGCCTCTACGGGGATCTTCACTCATAGTTAGAAGAGCAGCAGTGTGTGAAGCAACGCTTAAGCAGCAGGATCGACTACCAGCTCGGCAGCCACGAGCCCCTCGGCAGGAGAGGGGTGAATCAAGGCAGGAAATGAGAGGTTGCGAGCATGGGCAGTGAAGCATGGTGCGTACGGGAGTGAGCAGGGCGACATCAGTCGTGGAGGTGAGCAGAGGCACGAGGGCCTCTATGAGCCCGGCAGCAACGACGAGCAGATAAGGACAAGAGCAGATGGGTGAGGGCAGGAAACGAGAGGTTGCAAGCATGGGCAGTGGTGTTTGGTGCATACGGGAGTGAGCAGGGCGACATCAGTGGTGGCGGAGAGCAGAGGCACGAGGGCTTCTATGAGCCCGGCAGCAACGAGCCTCTCTGCACTCGCGTCTGACAGCGCTGTCACGTATGCCGCCACCCATGCTGCCTCCACTACTGCCTCTGCGTTGCTGTGAGGGTGGGGAG